CTTAACCAAAGTTTATCTTCACAAGTCACAAAATGTAGTTATCACACTAAGATACATCTCGTTGCACTTTCAAGTTCATAAAACTCCCTCCAAATATGTTGGAGTAGGTAGTTTCCTACCTAAAAATAACACAATTATAGCTTTGCTCCCTCCTAGTAAAGTGCATCGACTCAAACATGTGAGGCCTACTCAGCGTCGAAGGCCTTGTTAACTTAACATGACCACAACACTCACAACTATACAAAACACAATTCCAATTAAAAAAACTCACCCGTGTGTGGAGCAACCTGATATTAAGAGGTCTTGAAGTGAATAGCAACTTGCTATGGAGAGTTGGCTACATTCTGGCGTTGCCGATTTTTATAACTAAGAAAAAACTTTGATTTAATCACGATTGCTATGTGCATATCATAGATTCTCTTATTTTGTGAAACAGTCTGAATCAAATAGACATTTGACAACCCAAATAATTCATTTAAAATTGGTGAGTATTCGTTTCACGTGCCAAAATTAAATCAACATGAGAAAACAAACCTAAGCGATTCAAGACTCTTTACGTGAAGGTTTTTCACCTAAGGAATGGAATGGCAATTGCCTCGTCTCGCCTCATGCTAACTACGGCCCTGGGTTCATAAGTTGTGATCATTTTTTCTCCGACAAATAATGTGATTCTCTTTTTATCACAAAATTACACATACTATCATATAATGATTCAGGTGGTTCTGACTCGTATATAAAGAGTTTTTTTAAAACTCCTAGAAAGTTGAAATCGCGCCGCAATAGGCTACAAATGGTTTCACCGTTGCACAAACGTTTGTTGACAACTTGTCATTTGTCACTTCTCTCAGGTTACAAAGTTGGCGAGTGGAAAGGCGGCGATAACTGGCACTACATATTCCCTTACGAAGCCTTTAGGGAAACGTACCCTCGAATTTCCAAAGAAAGTCCTTGCAATCCTTGGGTAGCGGTACAGGGAAATGTTTCCGGCTCAAGAACCCAGAAGAAAAGCCGTAGCTTGAGTTGAAACGGAAAAATAAAAAATATCTTGACAGATAGATTTATCTAATTTGTTTTAGTTATTTTATCACTTTTACGCTGAAGAATTTCATATTTTTTGTCAGAAAAAAATACAAAATTTCGATTGAAAGGCAAGAAAGAAACATATCAGTTATAGGTAAATAGAAAGATGGCCTCTCCCCCCCAAAATAATTTGAGGAACCTTTGGAAAGATAGTCTATAATTTATAACCGAAAAATCTGCATCTTAGCGGAAAATGTTTCTTTGTTTCCGGATGGAAAAGTTGAAAAGGTAAAAACGGTTAACTTGGCTAACAAGTTAAGATAAAAAGATGATTGACTAGGGACACTCATCTCAAATCATACCCAATTTTAACTACCACAAATGCAGTTTTTCGGTTAAATTTTAGCTTTTTGGTTAGTTATTTCTTCAATTTACCTCTCGTTGGGGCACAGTGTAACATTGTATAGCATTGTTATTAGGTTTTGTACAAAAGTAAGTACAAGAACACATCTCGTATTTTAGGAAGGCAGTCCCCTAGACTTCAATTGACTAGTGAGTAACGACAAAGTATTTCCAATGAGTATTGTATTGAATGAAGATAACATGCATATCTCTTAGTATTTTTTACAGACTTCGTGCAATTTGTAAGTCATTATAATTATAATTATTACAATTATCATCAAAAATGCCTGACAAAAATGCACATTTATCGTGACTCGTACATTAACATAACTGCATCACCAGTGTCATGGTGGATTTTGTTTCTGTGTCTAAGTGTTTATTTCCTCTGTACTCTATT